TTCTGAAATTGAAAGTTTTATGTATTCATCTGATGTGTTTCTTTCACTCACAGCATCTTGTTTCTTATATGTCATGAGCGTGCTCTGGTGTATTATATATTTTACTAAGCTTTTTAGTTCTTTATTGGGGAGTTCATGTATATCTACTATATTTTCTGACAGAAGTTTCAAAGCTTTTTTTTTTTTCGTAAAGACTTCATTTTTTTAGAGCAGTTTTAGATGTATAACAAACTTGAAAGGAAGGCAAAGATTTCCCATGTACGCCCTGCCCACACACAGCCATGGCCTCCTCCATTATCCATATCACTTACCAGATTTGTACATTTTTTACCAAGGATGAACCTACATTAACACATCATAATCACCCAAAGTCCATAGTTTACCTCAGGGTTCACACTTGGTGGTGTACATTCTACGGTTTTGGACAAATGTATAATAACATATATCCATTATCACGATAGCATACAGAGTATTCTCATTGCTCTAAAAAAATGCTCTCTTCTCTGTCTACTCATCTCCACCTTCCCTCCTCCCGCCCCCAACACCTGGCAAGCATTAATTTTCTTTTCCGCTGGGTCTCCAAATCGGATTTACCAATGCAGGGGAAAAAAAGGAGGAGAAAAATGCAGACTCTTCAGGGCTGTAAATCACAGCGCCGCGCAACAAACACACAAGGAGCGCAGCGGCCTGGCGGTCTCCCCGGACCTCAGAGCAGCGGCGCTGAGAAGAGACGCCAACCTGCGGGCTGAGGCCCGCGCTCCCGAAGCCCCCGCCCCAGCAGAGCGCACGCCCACGCACGGGGACGTCAGCGTGCCCAGCTGGGCGCTCGCGTGGCGGCCTCGCGCCGGTGCCTGGGTCTGCGGCAGGAAGGTTGCGCTCTGCGCGCCGTTTGGGAGAGACGCCAGTGAGCCCGAGGTGTCAGGTGGGGCCGTCCGCGTCAACTCGGTGTTTACACTGACGATCTAGCGGTTTGAACACTTTAACGTTTCTTTGTCTCTCAGTCCGTAACATTCTCCTGAAGGGGACGTGGCAAACCCTGAGCCTTAGAGTTTCAATCCTGGGAAACCCCGCGGAACCAGTCCCTGAAGGGGTAGTTTTGCGCCTTCCTCCCCCACCCCCCATTCATCTTTTTGTCTCCATAGTTTTGCCCTTCCAGAATGTGTATAGTTGGAATCGAACAGCCTGTAGGCTTTTCAGATTGCCTTGTTTCACTTAGTAATATGCATTTAAAGGTTCTCCATGTCTTATCAGGGTTTGATAGCTCATTTCTTTTTAGCACTGAATAATATCCCGTTGTCTGAAGGTACCACAGTTTACCTGTTCACCTGCTGAAGGGCATCTTGGTTGCTTCCAAGTTTGGCAATTAGGAATAAAGCTGCTATAAACCTCCATGTGCAGGTTTTTGTGTGGACATATGTCTTCAACTCCTTTGGGTAAATACCAAGGAATGCCATTGCTCGGTGGTGTGGTAAGACTGTGCTTACCAGAAATGGGTGAGAGTTCCTTTTGCTCCGCATCCTCACCAGCATTTGGTCTTGTCAGTGTTCTGGATTTTGACCATTCCAATAGGTGTGGGGGTATCTCATGATTGTTAATTTGTGTTTCTCTGATTACTTACGTCGTGGAACATCTTTTCATATGCTTATTTGCCATCTGTATGTCTTCTTTGGTGAGGTGTCTGTTAAGGTCTTTGGCCCATTTTTTTGTTGAGGTTATTTGCTTGTTGTTGCATTTTTAAGAGTTCTTCGTATGTTTTGGATAACTGTTCTTTATCAGATATGTCTTTTACAAATATTTTCTCCTAGTTTGTGGCTTGTCTTCTCATTCTTTTTATTTTTTTTATTTTTTAAGATTTTATTTTTTTCCTTTTTCTCCCCAAAGCCCCCTGGTACACAGTCGTATATTCTTAGTTGTGGGTCCTTCTAGTTGTGGTATATGGGGTGCCGCCTCAGCATGGCCTGATGAGTGGTGCCATGTCCACGCCCAGGATTCGAACTGGCGAAACCCTGGGCTGCCGCAGCAGAGCACGCGAACTTAACCACTCAGCCACGGGGCTGGCCCCTCATTCTCTTGACATTGTCTTTCACAGAGCAGAAGTGTTTAATTTTAAGGAGGTCCAGCTTACCAATTATTTCTTTCATGGATTGTGTTTGGTGTTGTATCTAAAAAGGCATCACCATACCCAAGGTCATCTAGGTTTTTTCCTATGTTATCTTCTAGGAATTTTATGGTTTTTCACTTTATACTTAGGTCTGTGATCTATTTTGAGTTCATTTTTGTGAAGGGTGAAAGGTTTTAATCTAGATTCATTTTTTTGCATGTGAATGAACGTTCAGTTGTTACAGCATCATTTGTTGAAGAGACTGTCTTTGCTCCATTATATTGCATTTACTCATTTGTCAAAGATCAGTTCACTATATTTCTGGGAGTCTATTTCTGGGCTCTCTATTCTGTTCCATTGATCTATTTGTCTCTTCTTTTTTTGTGTGTGAGGAAGATTGGCCCTGAGCTAACATCTGTTGCCAATCTTCCTCTTTTTCTTTTTTTTTCTGGTAAGGAAGATTGTTGCTGAGCTAACGTCCTTGCCGTTCTTCCTCTATTTTGTATGTGGGATGCATCCACAGCATGACTTGATGAGAGGTGTGTAGGTTTATGCCTGGGATCTGAACCCCTGAACCCTGGGCTGCCACAGCAGAGCATGTGAACTTAACCACTACCCCACTGGCCTGGCCCTAGTTTGTCTATTCTTTTGCCAGTACCACACTGTCTTAATTGCTGTAGCTTTATAGTAGGTGTTGAAGTCAGATAGTATCAGTGCTCCAACTTTGTTCTTCTCCTTCAATATTGTATTGGCTATTCTAGGTCTTTTTCCTCTCCATATAGACTTTAGAATCAATTTGGTGCTGCCCATAAAATAATTTCTGGTATTTTAATTATGATTGCATTGAATCTGTAAGTCAAATTGGGAAGAATTGACATCTTGATAATATTGAATCTTCCTATCCATGAACTTGGAATATCTCTCCATTCATTTAGTTTTTCTTTGATTTTGTTCATCAAAGTTTTGTGGTTTTCCTCATATAGATCTTGTGCATATTTATTAGATTTATACCCAAGTATTTCATTTTTTGAGTTGCTAATGTAAATGGTATTGTATTTTTAATTTCAAAATCTACTTGTTCATTATTGGTATATAGGAAAGCAGTTGACTTTTGTGTATTAAACTTGTATCGTGCAGCCTTGTTATAACTGTTTATTAGTTCCAGGAGGTTTTTTGTTGATTCTTTCAGATTTTCTACATAGATGATCATGTCATCTGCAAAAAACAAGTTTTATATCTTCCTTCTCAATATGTATACCTTTTCTTGTCTTATTGCATTAGCAAGGACTTCCAGTTTGATCTTGAAAATGAGTGGTGAGAGGGAACATTGTTGCCTTGTACCTGGTCTTAGTGGGAAAGCTTTAAGTTTCTCACCATTAAGTGTGATGTTAGCTGTGATAGCTTTCTTTAACTTAGGTTTTCTGACACAGTTCTATCTCCTTCTCCTATAGTTACTCCTAGCTTTGTTCATTTAGATTTAAATTTTTTGTTTACATAATTTGTATCATTTTTCAGAAAGGGTAGAGTATAAATGCGTATGTATATGCATGAATTGTTTTATTCATATATCTAAGAAATTGCAAAACAGAATAACAGAAATATTTCTTCCAGAGGAAATTTTGCATGAAGTTTAACGCAAAAGAAGGGAAAAAGAGAGGACTCACTTTTACTGAGTACTTACCATATTTTAGGTATTTTACATACATTATTATTTAGTTTTCACAACTTTATCTATTAGGATAGAACTAGTATATTTATAGATGAGATATCTGGAGCTTTATAAGGTTAAACAACATATCAAAGATCATACAGTTTAGTATATGACACAGCTATAATACAAATAGAGATCAGTCTGAGAAATGAACCAATGCTGTTTTCATACAACACATCATATTAATGAATTTAGCATAATTCTCAATAGTAATCAGGACCATTTAATCCCACATACATAACAAGATTATACTTGCTATTTATCTTCCTTATTACTACTTTATCAGTTTTTATTAAAATAAAATGAGGGGGTATTTCACAAGTTTCTTTCCTCATTAGGGAAATGCAAATCAAAACCACACTGGGATATCACCTCATATCTGTTAGAATGGCTATCATCAAAATGACAAGAAATAGCAAGTGCTGGCGAGAGTGTGGAGAAAAGGGAACTTTTGTATACTGTTGGTGGAAATATAAATTGGTACAGCCACTATAGAAGGCAGTATCGAAATTCCTCAAAAAATTAAAAATAGAACTATTATATGACCCAACAATTCCATTTCTGGGTATATATATATGAAGGAAACAAAATCACTATGTTGAAGAGATATCTGCACTACCATGTTCATTACAGCATTATTTACAATAGCTAAGACATGGAAACAACCTAAGTGTCCACTGATGGATGAATAGATAAAGAAAATGTGAGATATATATATATATGTGTGTGTGTGTATAATAAAATATTATTCAGCTGTAAAAAAGGAGCAAATCCTGCCATTTGTGACAACATGGTTGAACGTTGAGGTCATTATGCTAAGTGAAATAAGTCAGACACAGAAAGACAACTACTGTATGATCTCACTTATATGTGGAATCTTAAAAAAATGAATTCATCAAAACAGGGAACAGATTGGTGGTTAGTAGGGGAAAAGCAGGGGAAATGGGAGAAAACTAGTCAAAAAATGTATAAACTTCCAATTTTAAGATAAATAAGTTCTGGAGATGTGATATACAGCATGATGACTATAGCTAATAATACTGTATTGCAGATTTGAAAGTTGCTAAAAGAATAGATCTTAAAAGTTCTCAGCACAAGAAGAAAATTTTGTACTATGTATGGGGACAGATGTTAAGTAGACTTATTGTGGTGATCATTTTGCAATATATACAACTATCAAATCACTATGTTGTACACCTGAAACTAATATAATGTTATATGTCAATTATATCTCAATCAAAAAAAAAAGAAAACAAAAGGATACAAAAGTTTGAGTCATCTCTCTCAGCAATGCCTTACTTAAAAGAAGCAAGATCATGCCAACTTTTAGGGACATCGGCTAAAAACAATTTGGAATACCTAAAAGGGCTAGATGAGGAGGTATCTGCTAGACCTTTGACATTTCACCACATGCCCCATGGTTTCCCCTACTTGGAGCTGTTCACCATGAAATGGTATTTACTTACCAGTGTCATACTAGAATCACAGAGCTGGCCTGGGGGGAGAGAAAGCTTTTAACTAAAAAAGGGAGTAACCCTTTTCAAGCTATTTAGTGAGTCAATAGGAAAGAAAATGAGAAATCTGATGACATAACTCTGATATTGACAAATAAGAGAGTCCAGAACTTGCAGACGGACTGAAAAATGAATAAAATTGAATGGAAGGGAATAAGAAGAAAAACAATAATCTCATGTTCCAGCTAAGCTGGTGTTCATGCTGTACTGATTGCACCATAACAGAAACCTTTCTAGAGAACAAAATAAACACCTGCTCTAAGAGTAGTTGAGATGATCATTCACTGCTGGAGAAACTTCGTCCCAGAGGCCAACTAATGGGCTCCTGAGGAAAGAGAATATTTGGGATATGATTGACAATCTTCCCTCATAAATCCTCACTTTTTGAATTCACAGGAGACTGTATCCCTTAGGAGGAGGATAGGTTTCAGACAGCATAGGTAAGTCTCTCTTGTGCACCAAGTATGCCAATTTCTCTCCAAACCTTATTGGTGTTCAGCAGTGTAAGCCCCGTCTCTAGACTGGTGGCTACCAAGGATGCCATTCCCTCATCTTGCCTGCCTTTTGCTGTAGTGAAATTAGAGATTACAAGTCAAATCTGCCAGTTCTATGAGGAGATGGGTTCAGAAGAGATACAAGTAAAGGACTGTTGTTAGGTGTGCTTTTTAGCTTTGCCTTCTTTTGGATGGCTGTAGAAATAATAGCACCTGAAGTTACATGAATGAATGTAGAGAGACTCATCTTTACAGCTAAGAGCGCTGGGAATCAGGGAAGTGAGAGAGACGAGAGGAGGAAGGAGCCTCAATAGTATGTAAATTTTGTCCTTATTAACCAGGAGGTGCACCCAGTCAGAACCAGTTCTTTGGGGGAACAGTATGTTAGCAAAGTGACATCTGGAAATGACTGACAAAGTGGCTATGAGGAACAAGGCAGGAAAAAAACTTCAGCTCTTCCTGTTTTTAGCCACGTTTGGCTCTGCCACAGAGCAGATTGTGAGGAGGCAGAACGACAAGATGATTGAGCACTCCAGATTGGTGAGTTCACTCCCACATAGTTTACAAAGCCACTGACATCCTCATACACATTAGTCACCAGATATTTCTTGCTGCTTTCACTCTTTTCTCATGCTTTCTTTGGCTTCTGAGTTACTCTCAGTTCCTGATACAGAGGAATTATTCACAGCTTTGCTGTGCCAAACATGATCTATTCACAGACTGAAGAGGCTTACAGTTAAGTGTGATGTGGAAAATTCTGAATTTCTCTCATCTCTTGTTTCACTAATTGCAGTTGTCAAGATCATCCTTAAAGTAATGAAATGAAGTGATCTGAAAAGTAACACATTTTGTAAATAATAAATTAATAAATATTCTTAGCTAGAATCCTTAAGAAAAATATCTGGGTCTGTATTCTGTACTTATATTTTCCTGAATAAATATCATCACTCAGTCATGTCATTTTGGGTCACTTAGGTCCAAATGATGACTGTTGATCACTAATGGAGGGGATCCTAAAATAAATTGATACCAAATGACTGACAACAGGAGCTCAGGCTATTTCAATGGTTTTATTTTGCTTTTCTCACCATGGAAGTCACACAAGATCCAAGACTAAGTCTAACTCAGAGAAGGCAGTTTTCACAAAGATTCTCCATCCCCTTCCCAAAACAACTCCAGCCTTCCACATCTATAAAGGAAGGAGGCGACAGAGGAGTGGAGAAATAAAAGAGGAATCCTTGTTCAGAGAGACTCTTTCTGGCTCTCACTGTTTTCCTTGGTTCCCAGAGATTTCTGCTTGGGAGTATCTGACATTTGTAATCCTCTGCATCTATCCATAAACCAAAAGTGTAGAGGCCTTTCTAGGAATCTTGACACCTTGGGTAAAAATCTTGAGCTCCTTACATAATATACCAGATTCATTGATCACTTTTTCTACCTATAAGTAGAGTTTTAACCTAGACCAAGGCTTTAAAGAAGTGTTTTAATTCAACAGGTAAAAGATGGGGCCAAATTGAAAGCCATTATGTAGGTGTCTGGATGTTCAAACTTTTCTTGAGTTAACAAACTTTGATGAATACTGAAGAAAGGATGGCAAATTTGACATTTTTTGTCTCGGTTATCAGATGAGTTTAAGATGCCAACACTTATAGTTTCAATACCGATCCAGAATAAAAGTGAAATGCATAAAGGTTTCAGTGTATTATTTGTTACCTTTCTCCCTCTCCTCCTATGATGCCTAATATTTGTGTTCATGATTCCAAAGATCCAAGTATTTGATATTCTGTGTTCAATATTAAGAGTATTTTGTATCTTATTCTGTAGATACAAATAGATGGTTTTCATATGTATTTATACTTAAGTACCATTATTAATCTTCTCCAAGTTGCTTATTGCATAAGATCCTGCTTTTTACTGTGAGAAAATTCTGAAAGAGAAATGAGAGAGCCCAAAATTCAAAGTCTGATCATATCAAGCACTCTCAAAATTTTACAGTTTTCAATAGTATAGTTAATCATTATTATATAATAGAATAATAGGATCTGAGGGACTTAGGGATTTCTAAAAAGGAAATAGTCCTGAATTTTAGGAAATAAGGTAAGCTTTGTCATTTTTTCCTCTCCACCCTTTAGGAAACCATGAATATGTCAGGAGTCAACACGGTGACTGAATTCATACTCCTGAGTTTTCCCTGCTCCAGAGAGGTTCAGGTCCTCCTCTTCATGCTGTTCTCTGTGTCCTACATCCTGACTCTAGTGGGGAATGGGGCAATCGTCTGTGTGGTGAGGCTGGATCACAGGATTCACACTCCCATGTATATTCTGCTGGCCAACTTCTCATTCCTGGAGATCTGTTACATCAATACCACTGTTCCCAATATGTTAAAGAACTTCCTTTCTGAGACCAAAACCATCTCTTTCACTGCCTGCTTCCTCCAGTTCTACTTCTTCTTTTCCATGGGCACCACTGAGACCTTCTTACTGCCCCTCATGGCTTTTGATCGGTACTTGGCCATCTGTCGGCCTCTCCACTATCCTACCATCATGAGCATTCCTCTCTGCATGAACTTGGTGGCCCTCTGCTGGGTAACGGGCTTCCTCTGCTATCCGGTCCCTATCTATTTTATCACACAACTCCCCTTTTGTGGCCCCAATACCATTGACCACTTTGTTTGTGACCCTGGTCCTCTTCTGGCCCTGTCCTGCATCCCTGCTCCTGGAATTGAGCTTTCCTGTTCTATTTTGAGCTCTCTTATTATCTTCATCACCTTCTTTTTCATCCTTGGGTCTTATACTCTGGTTCTCAGAGCAGTGTTGCATGTCCCTTCAGCAGCTGGCAGACGTAAGGCCTTCTCCACCTGTGGTTCCCACCTGGCTGTAGTGTCACTGTTCTATGGAACCCTCATGGTCATGTACATCAGCCCAACCTCTGGAAATCCAGCTGGCATACAGAAGATTGTAACCTTGTTGTACTCATCAGTGACCCCACTTGTAAACCCACTGATCTACAGTCTCCGGAACACGGACATGAAGGCTGCCTTAAGAAAAATTCAAATGTGCACAAAAATTAGTCAAAGTGAATGAGAACTCATCAGTGCAAGATCAGAATGATTATTTTTTCCCTATCTGTATTCCTAGTTTAAAAGTAGGTCTTCATTCATTTGCAGCTAGAAATGCAGACACAAATTCATCTATTTCTGCCTAGTCAAGTAATGGACAAGAGTTCACCCAGTTAAAACAGACCTTGTCTTCAAATAAAGATTTGGTAGATGGTAACTTGAGTTAAATGACCTGGATGTCTGAACTTTAGCCTCTTTTCCTACCCTGACCTTCAAAAACTGCCTAGCCTTTTATCTGTGATCACTTACCTGGTCCCTGACCTTATGCTTTGTTGACCTCTATTAGGTGCATCCATTCTTACACTTGGTCTTTTTGGCATAAAGATCTCTGCTCTGCTCCTGCAGAAGAGTGGAGTTTTCACACTTGTTAAGCTCAGAAAAAAGGGAAATTAGTGCCAATCAAAATTGAGCCAAAATTTTTATTTAATTGGCATCCAAAAGACTAATAATGATCTAAAGCACTGTCTCTCAAAATTGTCTGTTTCATAATTATTTGGGGAGCTTTTTAAAAGAGCAGATCCCTGGACTTTTCTCCAAATCTCCTAGATCACAGTCTTTGAAGTGGACCTCAGAAATTTCTATTTTAATGTTAATCAGGTGATTCTGATGCACCTTGACCTTATAGAGCCACTGTTTTAAATAAATATGTGACATGGGCAGAGAAATGAAAATCTGATGTTAGTCAGGAAAAGTGAAAGAAGTTACAATGAGCACTACAAGTGACTGAAAAACTCATGACAATAGCAGTAGAAGTTTCGTTTCCTGCCTTGATTTCCAAGTCTTCCATTTATTAAACAAGGAATAGATTATATTCTTCCTACCTTTTCCTACCTGTGCAAGATAATTAAGATATCTGGAAATAGGTTTACATTTTAAAAGAAGTTTAGCATGTAGTGGCATTAGAATTTGGGTTAGTTTCATGTGAAGGAAGGTTGAGTTGAACACATAGCCCTAAAGAGGTAAAAGCAGACAGAGAGCAAAAGTCAGTGATTCTAAGATGCTGAGATTAAGACAGGTTCAGAGGCATTTGATGATAGCTTCAGGTTATTGGGCCAAACAATTGGTCAAATGTAAATTGATCAGTTGGTATGTGGGATTGGTGCATTTCATTCATTCAATAAACAATTATTTACCTGTTTGATGTGCCCTGAATTACATTTATGTAGAAGACAAAGTCCCTGCCTCTGTAAAACTTACATTCTAGTGAGGGAGACAGATAATAAGCACATGAATGCATAAACATATAATTCCCGAAGTTGTAAGTAATATAAAAAGAATAAAAGAGAATATAAATATAAAAGTTGTTGGGGTAGGATAGGGCATAATTTAGACCGGATGGTCAGAGAATGTTTTTGTGAGGAGGTGATATTTCAAAGTAAGAGTATAAGCCATTCAACAATCTAAGGGAATTAATTTCCATGTAAGTGCAGGTATAATTATGGGGTTTTCAAAGATAATAGAAGTTAATTTTGGCTATCCAGAGGAAAATGGTTTATGAGGGTGGAGAGGTAAGCATTATCAGATCATCTGGAACTTACTAGGACACAATAAAGTGTGTTTTATCTCAATGCTGAGGAAGCGTGTTCAATACTGGGTACTAAGGGGAAGTCAGTAAAAATTCCACCTTAATAAATCCCATCTTAGTAAATTCCGTACCTTCTAAGTAGTTCTTAACTTGGAATTACTTATTCACCAACATGTTTAACTAAAAATGCCTTTACTGTATTCTTCCTTGTTCCATCAAGGATTTGAAATATCCAACAAGCAACATAGAAAAAAAGAGAAAAATGAATTTAAGAAGAAAAAAGTAGAATGAAGGTTTGTGAATCATAAGATCCTGTGCTGGTAAAAAGTCAAGTCCCTGAATGTGTTATGAACTCCCTGTAAAGCAAAGTGAGGAATGGGAAAACATTATGTGTTGTATGATTTTAATTATCTGTGAAAACAAGACAAAACAAACCACAGGATCCTCAGGGGAAGCTAAATTACTGGCTCCTAGTTTTAAAATAATTTCTTTCATGGGGATTCATATATGAGGGAGTCAGAGATATATGAACAGTGGTCTCCCAAATAGTGTTTTATATATATATATATATATATCTGGTTCAGTAGAGCTGCTGCTTATGGCATTCCTCAATAAAATTCAAAAGCATTATGTAGAAGTATAACTCAATAGAAGAAATTCATCCCAGACCTAAGAATTATGGTCTAAATATCACCTTTCTGATGATCTCTCTTAACCCAAAAGTCTGACGCAAAATAACCTAAGAATAAAATTGAGTTAATTACATGCCTACCCAAGTCAAAGATTAATAACTCTTAAATTTGGATACCAAAGTTCTCTTCTGTCATGTAGAAGGTAACTTTGGAAGCGTTTTCACAAGAATGAAAGGAAATGTTGATATGATATATTTGCCTCAAGAAGTTTATTAGATTTCTTTCTCCACTGGAGGTAATTTTCCTATACAGGGCTCTCACACCTGTTTTTTCAAGAAGAGTGAGGGGTTGAAGGAAAGGGTGACCTAGAAATGAAAAAGAGGCAGGAAGTTTTGGGAAGAGTTATTTTTGACGTGATTGAAAGTTAAGGGCAAACCTTTCTCAGTACTGAATTGTTTGAAATTTGATATTAGTTTTCCCATTTACACCCTGTTAGATAGTGTAGTTAAAAGATCAAGTTGGCACATAAATATCGAGGTAATACATAATGTACCTGTACATATTAAACTATATTCTAACCAACATCCATTCCTGATGAAAGTTCTTATCAAACTGAGGATAGATAGAAACTTCTTTGATCTATAAAGAACATTTTAAAAAACCTATAGCTAATATCATATTTAATGGTGAAAGTGAATGCTTTCCCCCTAAAATCAGAGACAAGACAAGAATGTTTGCCCTCACCACTTCCATTCAACCTTGTACTGGAAGTGATAGTGCAAGCAGGCAAAGAAAATAAATAAATGGCACCCAGATTGCTAGAAAGAAGTAAGATTATGTTTCATTAGATGTGAAATGATCGTCTGTGTAGGATATTCAAAGAGATCTACAAATAGGCTGCTAGAACTAATAAGTGCGTTTTGCAAGATTTCAAGATACAAGAACCATACACAACTGTCTCATGTATTTCTATATGCTTGTACTAGTAACAATCAGAAACAGATATAAAAATAATGCCATTTACAATAGCTTCAAAAGTATTAGAGATAAATCTGATAAAAGATGTGTAAGACCTGTGCAATGAAAACTATAAAACTTGACTGAGAAATTAAAGATGTAAATAAATGTAAACATATAACTTGTTCATGGGTTGGAAAACCCAGTATTCTTAAGATATCAGATCTTACCAAAATCATCTGTGGATTCAATGCCATGCTAAGCAAACTCTCAGGAGGCCTTTTTGGTAGAAATTGGCAAGCTAATTTTCAAGTCCATAAGGAAATGCAAAGAACTTAGAGAAAATAAAGTTGGAGGAGTACCAGTACCTCACTTTAAGACTTATTATAAAGCCACAATAATCAAACCAAGGTGGCATTGGCATTAAGTTAAACAAATTGATCAATAGAACAAAATAGAGAGTCCAGATATAGACCAATATATATGGAATATTGATTTTCAACAAAGGTGCAAAAGCAATTCAGTGTAGAAAGGAGGGTCTCTTTAATAAATGGTTCTGGAATAATTGTATATCTATGTCCAAAAATTGAAATCAATATTTCAGTACTTCACAAAGTTCAGAGAAATTAACTCAAAATGGGCCATGGTCCTAAATATAAATCCTAAAACTTTAAAACACCTAAAAGAAAATATAGGGTAAAATCCTTGTGACCCTGACTTAGGCAAAGATTTCTTAAATATGCACAATCCATAAAAGAACAGTTTAATAAATTGGACTCCATTTATATTAAAAATATTTGCTCTTGGAAAGAGGACTATTAAGAAAATGAAAAGACAAGCCACAGAATGGAAGAAATATTTGCAAATCATTTATCTGTTGAATTTGCTTCAGAATATATAAAGAACACTCAAAAATCAATAATAGGAAAACAAATGACCCAATAAAAAATAGAAAAAAGATTTGAACAGACATTGAACAGAATGTATACATATGGCGGATAAGGAAATGAAAATATATTCAACATTGTTAGTCATTAGAGAAATACATGTTAAAACACAGTGAACTGTCAAATTATCAGTATATAAATAGAAGAATGACTAAAATTAAAATGACTGACCATACAAGTGTTGGTGATATAAAGGATATAAAGATGATATAAAGGAACCAGAGCTCTCACACACTGCTAGTGTGAATGTAAAATGTTATAAGCTCTTTGGAAAACAGTTTGGCAGTTTCTTAAAAAGTTAAGCATGCATCTATCATTTGACAAAGCCATTTCACCTCTAGCTATTTACCTAAGAGAAAAAAATGCATGTGCCAAAGACTTGTAGACAAATGCTCCTAGCAGGTTTATTTATAAGAACACAAAACTGGAAACAACCGGAATGTCCATCAACAGATGAGTGGATAAATTCCTCTTTGAGTTGAATCTGTTTGGGGATCCATTAGGTTCATGTACCTGGATGACCATACTTCTCCCAGATTTGGGAATTTTTCAGTCATTATTTCTTTAAATTAGATTTCTGCTCCTTTCTCTACTCCTCTGGGACTCCCATAATGTGCAAGTTGTTTTACTTGATGGAGTTCCATAATCCATATAGGCTTTCTTCATTCTTTTCCATTCTTTTCTCTTTGTCCTCCTCTTACTGGATAATTTCAAATGACATGTTTTTGAGTTCACGATTTCTTTTTTCTGCTTGATCTAGTTTGTTATTGATTCTCTATATTGAGTTTTTAATTTTATTCATTGCACTCTTCAGCTCCAGAATTTGTTTAGTTTCTTTTTGTGATTTCTATCTCTCTGTTGTACTTATTTTGTTTATGTATTGTTTTTCTGTTTTCATTGAGTGGTCCATCCATGTTCTCTTATAGCTTGCTGAGCTCCTTTAAGACAATTATTTTGAATTCTTTATCATGCAGTTCATGGGTCTCCATTTCTTTGGGGTCAGTTACTGGAAAATTATTGTATTCCTTTGAGGTTGTCATGTTTCCTTGATTTGCATTTTCCTTGGAGACTTGTATTACTTTCTTCACATTTGAAGGGGCAGTCACTTCCTTCAGTCTCTCCTGACTGGTTTCAGGAGAGTAATACCTCCGCTAATCAGTCTGACTAGGTATTCTGAGTCTAGCTAGGGATCCATTTTCTATGGATATGCCTTCTCCACCCTTCTTATTCTTTCTTGTGGGAGAATTCTTAAGATGGTATGCCTTTTCTCTATCCTGCACGGGCAGCCAGGTGCTGACAGCCTCCCTTTTTTCTCTAGGGCAGTGCCTTGAAATGCTCAAGTTGTGAGCCTTCTCCCAATTCCACAAAGTTGGGCTGGCTTTCTACATGTGCTTTCTAGCTGTCTGTAAATGTTCACCGTTCCCTGCAGAAGCACATGCCAGGAGCTGGACTTGGGGTTGAGAATGGAAGTGCGTGAAGTGTGTGGAGCATTGGAGGTCTCTGTGGGCTAGATGGGGGGGTGGGGTCTGTAGCTGAGGTGTTCTTAGAGGCTTGTGGGTGGGCTTCTTGAGGGAGTCCTTGATGCGATTAGTTGGGTGAATCATGAAGTGATTAGTAGTGTCCTTTTGATGAGTTCCAAGCCCTGGTTGCTGTGTTCCCATCCTCTCCATGAGTCCTTAGTTTTGCAGATCACCTCAGTATTCTGGGTGGGGTGAGAGAGAATTGGACCTCTTGGACAGTGCCCGACACAGCTTGGGGAGCTGGGCTGTCACTTTCCCCTTGCAGGCTGAGGGGCTGTCTCTTGACACTAAGCTGTGCTGCCTTGGGTGATAAGGGTAAAGTGAAACTGTTTTTCCTACCCTCTTCAATAGTCTGTTCTTGTTTTTTTTTGCTTCAGTGGTGTGCTGGAACTTCTCTGCTGGACTCTTGAACTCCCACAAAGGTACTTTTGTCTGTGAGTGACTGTCAAAAATCATTTTCTGTGAGATTATGATGGAGAAAACTCCTATTATTCCATCCTGCTGAATCATTTCCAATTTATCTATTTTTTATTTTTTACTTATTTATTTTTTTGGTGAGGAAGGTGGGGCTGCCGAAGTAGAGCTTACAAATTTAACCACTATGCCTCTGGGCCAGCCCCTGTCTATTTTTTACTTTATTGCTTGAGTTTTGGTGTCATATCTAAAAGTCATTGCCTAATCCAAGGTCACAAAGATTGAAATCTGTTTTCTTCAAAGAGTTTCATAGTTTTAGGTCTTACATTTAGGTCTTTATTCCATTTTGAGTTAGTTTTTTTATTTCGAGTGAGGTAAGGATCAAATTATATTCTTTTGCATGTGATATCCAGTTGTCCCAGCACCATTTTTTGAGGAGACTATTCTTTCTCCATTGAATCATCATGGCACGTTGTTAAAAATTAATTGATTGTAGATATACAGGTTTATTTCTGGATTTTCAATTCTATTCCATTGATCTGTATGTCTGTACTCTACCTCTACTATCTTGACTACCGTAGTGTTGTAATAAGTTCTGAAATTGGAAAGTATGAGTCTTTTAACTTTATTCTTCTCTTTTCAAGGTTGTTTTGGCTTTTTTGGGTCTCTTCAGATTCCCTGTGAATTTTAAAATCAGCTTTTCCATTTCTGTAAAATAGGCCACTGGAATTTTGATAGGGATTTCACTGAATCTGTAAATCACTTAGAGGAATATTGCCATTTTAACAATATTAAGATTTCCAATCTATGAACATATGATCTTTCCTTTTGTTTAGATGTTAAATTTCTTTCACAATCTTATATAGTTATCAGTGTATAAGTCTTACATCATCTTGATTAAATTCAATCCTAAGTATTTAATTATTTTTGATGCTGTTGTAAATGGATTTGGTTACTTAATTTTCTTCTCTGGTTTTTCATTGCTAGTGTATAGAAATACAACTGATTTTTGTATATTGATCTTGTACCCTGCAATTTTGCTAAATTCATTTATTAGTTCTAGTGGGTTTTTTTTTTGTGGATTCTTTGTGATTTTCTATATATAATTTCACGTTATCTGTGAATAGAGATGACTTTACTTCCTTCTGGTTTGGATGACTTTTATTGTTTTTACTGCCATATTGTACTCGCTAGAACTTCTAGTGCAATGTTAAATAGTCACTACTCAGCATTGTTGATGGAGTTCTTTAAGCAATTAGGGTGAATTGTGAAGTGGTTAGTAGTGTCCCTTTGATGAGTTCCAAGCCCTGGTTGCTCTGCTCCCAGCCTCTCCAACATCCCCCAGTCATGCAGGTCAGCTCAGTATTCTGGGTGGAACAAGAAAGTAGTAGGCCTCTTGGGCAGCATGCCACACAGCTGTGGAAACTGGGAAGCTTTCACATTGTTGTGAAAGCAAGCATCCTTATCCTGTTCCTGATCTTAGGGGGAAAGCTTTCAGTCTTTTACTGGGGAATATGATTTTAGCTGTGGGTTGTTTAATACATGTCCTTTATCATGTTGAGGAAGTTTCCTTATAATCTTAATTTGTTGGGTGTTTTTTATCGTGGAAGGGCGTTGGATTTATCGATTGACTTTTCTGCATGAATTGGGATGATCATGTTTTTTCCCCCTTCATTCTGTTAATGTAGTGTGTTACATTGAATGATTTTCTTATGTTGAATCACTCTTGTATTATTTGGATTTCCTATGTTGAACTGCGCTTGCATCGCACTTGGTGATGATGTCCTTTTATATACTACTGGATTCAATTTGGTAGTGTTTTGTTGAGGATTTTTGTATATATCTTTATTAGTGATATTGATCTGTGGTTTTAATTCCTTTTGATGTCTTTATCTGGTTTGGTATCAGGGTAATGCTGGCCTAAATGAGTTAGGAAGTTTTCTCTCTCTTTATTTTTTAGAAGAATCTAAGAAAGACTGGTGTTAATCTTAAGTGTTTGATAGAGTACATCACTGAAATGATATGTCCCTGGGTTTTCCTTGTTGGGAAGATTTTGATTCCTGATTTGATCTCTCAGCTTATTATAGGTGTATTCAGATTTTCTATTTCTTTTTGAGTGAGTTTTGGTATTTTGTGTGTTTCTAGGAATTTGTGCATTTTGTCTAGGTTATCTAAATTTGTTGGCAAATTGTTCATAGTATTTTTTTATAATCTTTTTTATTTCTCTAAGG